TAGTAGCAAGGAAAGGTCTTCCCAATATGATTGGAACTTCATAATCTACCTCACAGTCCAAGATCACAAAATCAGCTGGCAAGATAAATTTGTCCACCCGAACAAGAACATCATCAATAATACCCAATGGTCTCTTCATAGTTCTATCCGCAATTTGCAATCTCATGGAAGTCGGCCTCGGTTGCCCAATACCCAAAGTCTTGAAAACTGAGTAGGGCATCAAGTTGATACTTGCCCCCAAATCACATAGAGCCTTAGCAAAGTCCGCACTCCCAATGGTGCAAGGAATGGTGAAAGCACCGGGATCTTCAAGCTTCAGGGCCATTGAATGCACTATTGCACTAACTTTGTGGGTCATCTTGATAGTTTCACAATCCATGGATCTTTTCTTTGTCACCAAGTCCTTCATGAATTTGGTATAGCCCGGTATTTGTTCAAGAGCCTCCACCAAAGGCACATTAATGGATAAGCTCTTCATCATGTCAATGAACTTTTTAAACTGATTCTCATTTTTCTGCTTCGCGAGCCTTTGAGGATAATGTGGAGGTGGCCTTGGCAAATGAGCCTTGGCTTTAGGCACAACCGAATCGGTCATGTCTATTTCGTGTTCCCTAGACGAGTTCACATGATTCTGAGTCTCCACCTCAGCATCTTGAATATCAATCCTTACTTCTTCATTCATATTCTCATCAATCACATTTTCAACCACCAAAGGAATTTCATTTTCTTGCAACTCAACTTCATTACTTAAAACTGCTTTTTGCTTGGAGGAATTCACATCACCGCCTCTTCCACTTCTCGTAGTCACTGCCATCACATTATTATTCCCACCCTTCAGGTTAACTACCATATCACTTGGTAGTTCCCCCTTAGGGCGAGTATTCAAGGATTGTGAGATTTGGCCTAACTGAACCTCCAAGTTTCTGATTGAAGTATTATGGGAAGACAACTGAGCATCAGAGTTCGCATTCTTTTCTATCATCTGTTCAAACATCATTTCAATTCTTCCCATTTCATTATTGGAGGAACTAGGACCTTGAGATGGAAATGGGGGTGGATTGTTCGGTTGTTGGTACATTGGGGGCCTTTGAAAGCCTTGCCCCCGATTTCCTTGAGTGTTATTATTCTAACCTCCCTAATTGTTGTTACCACCCCAGTTGTTGTTGTTGCCATTCCAATTACCATGATTGTTCTGATTGCCCCAGTTGCAATTTTGGTTGTTGTTCCCCCAATTATTGTTCCCTTGTTGTTGTTGATTGACCCAATTGCCTTGGGGTCTCCATTGTTGTTGGTTGGAAGAATTGCCCCTTTGGCCTTGATAGTTGTTCACGTATTGTACCTCTTCATTGTACCCATCATAACCATCATCTTGGAATCCACCACAATCATTGTCAAATTGATCCGAACTCCCTTGGTTCTGTTGACCTCTTTGTCTTCTTTTGTTCACTAGCATGTTGACACCCTCCATAGCATTCACTTGGCGTGGATTTTGAACTTGTTGCAACTATGCCTTTGCTAGCTGATTCATTGTAGTTGTCAGCTCTGATATAGCCTGCCCATGGTCATGTAGCTCTTTTTTTAAGTGAGTGACCGTGGGGTCACCATGTGGCACATTGGCTCTACTTTGCCAAGTGAAGGACGTGTCTGCCATCTCGTCAAGAATGTCACAAGCCTCATCATAAGACAGTTTCATGAAGTTGCCCCTAGCAAGTTGGTTCACTATGCACTGGTTAGTTGTGTTAATACTCGGTAGAAAGTCTGTTGGATCATCGCCTCAGTCATATCATTGTTGAGGCATTCCTTTACCATTGTTCTATAGCGCTCCCAAATCTCATGTAATGGTTCGGTGGGCTCCTTCTTGAAGGCCAAGATCTCATCTCTCAATGCTGCCATATGCCCAGTGAGAAAAACTTTGCAATGAATTTGTCCGCCAACTCATCCCAAGTAGTGATGGAATGGTTGTAGAGTCACTCAAGCCAATCCAATGCCTTTCCTCTAAGTAAGAAAGGGAAGATTCTCAACTGAAGTGCATCCTTGGACACATTAGTTTGCTTGCTCCCCCAACAGGTATCCACAAAACCCTTGAGATATTTATAAGAATTTTGATTGGCAACGCCCATGAAATACCCATGCTGCTCCAGCAATGTCAGCATCACATTGGTAATTTAAAAATTACCCGCCCGGATCCGGGGTAGGACAATCGCACTTGCATAGCCTTGGTTGGGAAGCACTCGAAGAGCCACTCTTGGAGGTGGCGAGGGAGGGTTTGTAATATAATCATTGGTCTGGCAGCCTCTCCTTTGTCCTTGAGGTACAATAGGGACCTCATCATCAACATTGTCATCTACCTCCTCCCCCGGCGGAAGATCTCCAAGAGGTGCGTTGCTCAAGTTGCTGTCGTTTTGTACCTGAAGTTGTGACACACACAAATTAGTAACACAGAAGGAAAGAAGAACAATACACAAAACTATTTAGATAGATAGCCAAAACAATTAGCTCCCCGACAATAGTGCAAAAAGTGATCGGAGCCAACCCTGCACTACTACAAAGTAGCAAGAGTGGTCGAAGCAGCTTTTACCCGAGAAGGTCGAGATCAATTTCCACAGGGAGCTAGAGATGGGAATTGAGTTTCTATCTAAATTGGAGTTGCGTAGTTGTTCCTAATTGCACTTCTAAACATAGTTGGTTTTGATATTACTTCTAAATTTATCCTAGTAGGATGCTAAATTAAGTTAAGTTAAGCTAAGAGCGAGCTATTGAAGGTTGTCTAAATAGTTAAAAGGCACTAGGGAAGTGACTCTCTCCTAGGTGGATACTTGACGGGTTCTCGAGTCTAAGGCTAGGTTATCATACTTAGGGATTACGATAGAGCCATTGCACGACACTTTTCACTCTATACCTCTCGGTAGTTTGAGTGATTTTGCCCTAATTGAATTTCTCAAGGCCAATTGGGTATGATAATTTGTGCAAGCAATTGAGGTTCAAATCGAGTATTACTATCTTTAGGTTTAACCCTTTAATTGGGGCTATCAATCTCTTGAATACGCCCCAATTCCTTGTTGGACTAATTTTCCTAGATTTAGGCTCTCTTTCTGAAGAAGCGCCCAAGTCAAATAGGCATAAACTAGTGTTTGCAACCACTAATTCAACATTAAAATCATTAATTAGTCCAAATATCAAATACCCATAGACATTCAAGCCTTAAAACACAAGACCCATCAATTACCTACTCTAGGGTTGAGCCACAACCCTAGCTAATGGGTCTAGATACTCATGATAATAGAAGAAAACAAAGAAATAGATGAAGAAAAACTCATGATATTTAATTACTAGCTAAAACTTGAAGATTCATTGATAAAACTATTATAAAATTACTCAAAATAGTAAAGGGACACTATTCACGAGCGCAACTCTGCTTGAAATTACAACTGATAACCTAAAAATGGAAAAAGAAACTATTTATACTAGGCCAAATTTTCTGGATAAAAATACCCCTGCGGGGTTAGTGCGGACCGCACAAAATCAAGTGGAGCTGCACTGGGGTTCTTGGCTTAAAACTTCTGCTCTCTGAACTTGGCCACCGCGGGCCGCACAAAATGCACCGCGGCCGGGGTGGCTTCTATTGCGGTCCGCACAAAAAGGACCGCGAACCACATTGGCAATATTCCCAAAAAAATTAGCAACTCTCTGAACTCAAGCTTTACGGACCGCACAAAATCGAGTGCGGCCGCAATAAAGCCAATGCAGTCCACATGAAATGTTGTGCGGCCGCATTGCTTGAATGCCTAAAATGAGGACCTTTCTGAACCTCCTCTTTGCGGACTGCACAGAATGGAGTGCGGCTGCATTGGTCCTGTTACACTGTGCTTGACTTGTTCTTGGTACTTGTGCATTTTCACTCCTTTTTGCGCTGGTTTTGACGACTTATCACTTTGTTGACCAAACCTTGCAATCAAGAACAACATATAAGCCTTTGGGACTATTTTGTACACATTTCTAATCAAAACTCAAGTAAGAAGGAGTGTAAAATGTATCGTAATCCCTAGTTATCAACGGCCTCAATATGAATCTGCCCAGAGCCGTTATCCACCTCGTCAGCTATTGCACGACCTTTACATTATTTATCACCGTGATTTCTTCGATGGACTTAATTTTGTCTGGGTTGATCTCGATCCCCCTGTTCGATACCATGAAGCCTAAGAACTTGCCCGAACCCACTCTGAAGGCATACTTCTCGGGGTTAAGCTTCATGTTGTAGCTTCTGAGGATGTTGAATATTTCCTGCAAATGAGTCAAATGGTCCTCTGGGCGCAGGGACTTAACTAGCATGTCATCATATAAGCTTTTATGGATTTGCCTATTTGATGCTCGAACATTTTATTAACTAGACGTTGGTACGTAGCCCCTGCGTTTTTCAGCCTGAAGGGCATTACATTGTAGCAGTAGGTACCATACTTCGTGATGAACGAAGTCTTTTCCCTATCCTCGAGGTTCATCTGAATTTGATTATACCCCGAGTAGGCGTTGAGAAAGGTGAGGGTCTCGTGGCCAGCTATAGCATCGATCAGACGATCGATGTTAGGCAATGGGAACGAATCCTTGGGGCACGCCTTATTTAAGTCTTTATAATCTACGCACATTTTTAACTTATTTCCCTTTTTGGGCACTACCACTATGTTGGCCATCAATTCGGGGTACTTTATCTCTCTAATAACCCTATTTTAAGGAGTTTCATTACCTCGTCCTTGATGAATGTGTGTTTTACTTCAGACTAGGGTCTTCTTTTTTGCTTCACTGGTTTAAACCTGGGGTCGACACTCAATCGGTAGGTGGTTATTTCCGGTGGGATTCTTGTCATATCTAAGTGAGACCAAGCGAAATAGTCGATGTTATTAATAAGGAATTGAATGAGTTTTTTCCTGAGTTCGGGGGTTAATCTCGTTCCCAGGTATACTTTCCGATCCGGGAGATGCTCGATCAAAACGGCTTGCTCCAGTTCTTCAATTGTCGATTTCATTGCATCCAACTCTTCGGGGGCAACGAAAGTTCGAGGAGCGATATTCTTCATCCTCGGGAGTCTGTACGCTCCCAGACTCATCCGAGGTGGAGTGTATGGGATTCAGCGCCTCCTGGTAAACTGCGAACATTTCTTTTGCCGCATGATGTTCTCCATATATGGTTGTTATGCCATCCTTTGTCGGAAATTTTATCATCTGGTGCAGAGTTGACGGTATTGCCCTCATGCTGTGTATCCACAGCCATCCAAGCAATGCGTTGTACCTCATGTCACCGCTAATGACGTGGAACTTGGTGTTCTGAATTGTACCGGACATGTCAACTGGGAGGGCGATCTCTCCTTTCATGACTTTGCTGGCCATGTTGAAGACGTGGAGGACCTGGGAGGCGGGTATGATCTGATCGAGCAACCCAAGATGTTCTACTACCTTCGACCTGATTACGTTTGCCGAGCTGCCTGGATCCACGAGCACACGATTAATTCGAATGTTGCTTAAAAGAAATGAAATTACCAGCACGTCATTGTGCGGCTCTGCCAAGGTCTCAAGATCCTCCTCGCTGAATGCAAGGGTGTCTTCGGTCATGCGGTCTCGGATTGGCCTTTCTATTGCAGTGGATATTTTTATTCGTTTGATCACGGGTCCTTGGAAAATATCGGTCCCCCCGATAATCATATGAACGACATGCCGAAGAATCTCTCATTCTAGGTTGGATTTTTCCGAGTTTCCCGCTGAATTTCTCGGCATGCTCCCTGGTTGATGTGAGGACCGACGTTAATGCATTGGGCATCGCACGAGGTCGTTCCCTTGGGAATCGGCTCCGATGTGTTCTCAGGGTTTCGCGCTAGCACACCCATACCTGGAATAACCATACCGCTCTTTTCATGGCTTTTGAGGCTGTTATTTTCAGGTACACTTACCGGTTTAGGCATTTTGACTTGGAATCAAAGATCTTGGACAAGAAAGAGTGTGAAAGATAGCTTGTGTTGTATAGTAAAACCAGCAAGAAAATAATCACTATTATCTTTAGCCCCACGGTGGGCGCCAAACTGTTTACCCTGAAAATGGTAATAATCATTAAATTTGATTTTGTGGTTCTAAAAATACGTGATCTATTTTTATGCTAGTTGTCAGGCAGTGATGCTATGTGAAAGACTTAGAAATGAGATAAGAGCTTGAGAGCAAGGTGATAACCAAACTGAATCGCTGTCAATCGGGTCCTCGAGTTTGCTTATTCGGGGACTTGGGGTCGGGTTCGATGTCCGCCGAGGGCGGTCGATAGAGACTCACAGTTAGAATAAAATCAATGACGGCTCTTTATGGCCAATAATGGCAATAAATGGAAGCAATAATATCAAGAGAATGTGTTAGAGAGCAGAGAGAATGTTCTTGTGTATTTAGTATTGAGCAACAGATGACTACAAAATGACAAGGATCCCCTTTATATACGAGGAAAAATCCCAACATAGTACAAATACATTTATTACAAAGATATGGAGATGGGACAGCTAGCTGATGTCATGATTCGGGTCTCAACTTAGCTCACTAGACTTTGTCAGCTCTAGTTATGCGCGTTGGGAACTCCCCACTTTTCCATCATAATCGTTGGTCTGCATCGCCTCGAGGTCGAGCGTCGATAGCCCTCGAATGTGAACCTCGACCCTAGTCTCGAACCTGTGAAATATGCTTATGAGGCACCACAACGACGGAAAATTGGACCCTCCGATTTTACCGTATACAAAACGTTAGTTCAATAAACTAAACATAAAATAATTCCGACCCCACAAGTTGCTTGTGTGCTTAAGGAATTTAATCCCCTCAATGTTGCCCAAAGTTTTGGATTAATTTCTCCCAGGATAAAACGGAATAACTATTCTGTGATAGCGGTACTACAAATCACAGAATTTCAGCGAACTTAACAAACTGAGGAAATCACACTTGACAGTTGACACTTATGTTTATTTAGAAAATAATGCAACAATGTAGAAAAAAGGGGAGAAGATTTCAGATTTTTCATGTCTTAAAAATGAGATCAAGCCTCTAAGTTTATAGGTAATAAAAAGGTAAGATGAAGAGGTGCAATCCAAGAGGTGCCTCTTACATTTCCTATTCACACCTTTTAGGAAAAACCCAACAGTTTTTAAATAAATATGTATAAATATTAAATTTAGAACTCATTTATTAACACTTAAAGTCATTATTTTAAAATTCACAACCCATAAATTTAAAATCTTAGCCCCACCTCTAATAGTCTAATTTTTCGGTATGCTGTTCAAAATGTTAACCGTATGGCCTATTGAAAGGGGTCTGAACTCAACTTGGGCTTTGACGTTTTCACCATTGATGGTTAATAAGCGATGCTAGACCCAAACTCTATCCACAAAGAGGACTCACAATATTATATGGATGGATCATACTCAATTATTCATCCTTATTTTCTTGGGATTTTGGACGCAAAACTTGATGCAAAAATGAAGGGAAAAGTTATGTACCAATAAAGGTAACATATATCGATATAATAAATTAAACTAGGTAATATTTGTAAGGCTTTTAAAACCTTTCATTATCTTTTTCGTATATCCAAAAGGAGATATCAATTTTATGATCATAATAAATATTTTTTAATTCAAATTGTACGTAACTGATTGTACGAGATCATTTTCTTCCCCAAAAGTGCATATAATATGTAAGGATGCATGTAAAATATTTATCATATTTTTCTTTTAATATTCAAGTTCTACATATTATTATGAATTTATTCATATTTAGTTTCGTCGCGAAAAAGATTCGACAACTCTCTATATATATATTACGATGAAGGACTAGCGTATGAAAGTATTGGAGTATATATTATGCAAAACAGAAAGTAATAAATTGGTTAAGACTTGTTATCTTCCAGAAGTTACATAGACCATTTTGCACAAATGAAAGCACTTGCTAGTTGCATTTCAAGAATATCATTTTTTTTTTGTGTGTGTGATTCTTTTCAATGAAGAACGAAAATATTCCTTTGAAGCAAGAACTTGGCAACAATGGTATATACAGAATTTAATACAAGAAATTAAATCAAGAAGCTCTTGAACAGCGTGGCCATTGTTTATTGATCCTCTCCACTTGCAAACCATAAATGACAAGCCTTCTTTAAGACAAATATATATACATCTCTTTTACATATTGGTTGATAGTTTGATCCTAATTACACTTCTTTTTTTAAGAAAGTTTCGAGTTATTTTTTTTTCTTAGGGTCATAGAATGTTAGATATGGAACTATTATTTGGGAGAAAATGAATTCGAAATTTTAAAGTCTAGTCAATTCATAAAGGAAAAGTAATACGACCAATTATGTATATATTTTTAGTAAAAAAAAATTGGACCATCAGTAAGGCACCACATAACTTGACTAGCGATTATGACACTATAAAATACGTCTAGTCTTCATCTGTATATTTGTAAGGACGTCGAAAAGGGAAGCAAAGTAAATTTCATCCTTTATTTACTCTTTTTAAAGAAATTCAATTCTACAGCTTAGAAAAACTATGTTTATAATTTAATTGCGTAAATTTTCAAACCTTTTGTTCTGATGACAAATGAAAAGAAAGCTAGCTAGTTTGTTTCAATATTTAATCAAAACATATTTCTTTTTTATTTTTAATCTTAAAGTACTATTCAGATTTCGACATTCTAAATAATTTTTTATTATTTCAAAACTAAGAAAGATGGTTGGTCCGATTTTGGAGTTATTCCAATAATTTGACGGAGGTGTTCATATTGGGATACAAAATCTACCAGTCAATGTGTAATATAACCATCCTTAAGGTTTCATTAGTATTTGTTTCTCTTGCATTTTTGAAAAAGATGGGAGGGGAAATTTTATTATTATTTTTCAACCAATCATGCTAGTAAGTTGATGCAAAACTATTTATTAATCCTACTATAAGTTGTAATTCATTTAAAAAGAAGCATTTCTTATGTCCTGTTGGTGATACTGGTCTAATTTATAATGATTAATTTTTTTTTATACAAATAGCAGGCCAGTTTTATTATTTACTTTTTTGAGTCGATATACGTAGAATATACACTAATTATATATAGTTATATACATATTATACATAGATTATGCATATATTATCTATTTTCTAGCTATTTTTAGTTTAAATAATTGAGTGAGTTAATATAACGTTGACCCTATGTACTGATTAGTGGACCTCTTCGGGAAATAGACAAAGAGAAAGAGTGCATACGTGCACATAAGAATGATAAATAAATAAATTAAAATGGAATATAAGTAACATATCAAAGGTAATAATCTCTAGTGTCCAGTTCCAAATGAGAGGGAGCAAAGTAAAATGACTCATAAAATTGAAGGGCCAAAAAAAGGTAAATTGTAAGTTTAACTTTTACATAAACTTTTGAAGGACCATTTGGCCGAGGTCTTACTATGAACTTCTAGGAAAGAGATTTTAGTGTAAAAGGAAGTGGAAAATAAAATCTGAGCTGTGTTTTATCCCAATGTTAGTGACTGAGTGAGTTATCATAATTAGGTCATTTACAGCCATTAGTACGCCGAAATTTATGTCTAATCATTTTATGTAAATGTAAGATCTAGAAATTTAGGGTTTGTGGGG